GACCCACGATATTGGCATGCAATAGACAGAAGCTGGGTGGTAGTTAGTGATGGCCCAAATCTCTGTTGCAGCTGGGTCACAGCCCCTGTCTGTACCTTGCAAGGTACAGGAACCTCTGTCACTCTGACCTGCTGGGACACCTGAAATTCCATGTTGGTGACTGCTTGGATGGAAGGCTTTCCTGCCTGATGTATCTCTGTTGTTGATCATGGGGACAGTCCATCAGACCATGCTAACCACTGGCTCCACAGTGCATCAGATGAGCTGTGCTTCCAGACCCAAAGTCAGAGCCCAAAGAATGGGATGTGGGATGAGCACGTTTTGATAGAGAACAGGAAGTAGGAAGAGTTCTGGGGCAGGGGGCAGGAAACTATGGTGTGCAGCCAAATCTGGCCTGGTGCCTGCTTTTGAAATACAACTCTAGGGGAACATAGCCATGCCAGTGCACATGGCAGTGGCTGCATTCATGCTGTGACAGCAGAGTTGAGTAATTGCCACGGAGACCAGGGACCTGCAGACTGAAGCCTTCACCATCTGACACGTTACAGGGAAGGTTTGGAGACTCCTGGCCTAGAGCATGAGTGCTTCTTGGAAGGCAGCAAAGGAGACTTGCAGAGACAGAGGAGAGAGGGAGATACTGAACAACAGACGGGGAAAATCAGAAGGAGAAAGGGTATTCAAACAGTAGACACCCTCTGGAGGAAAGTCACCCATGGTCCTTCCCCTTCCTTCTCCCAAAGACAGATGTGTTTTCCCTCCTGTCGTCATTCAGGGGTGTGGAAGGGGTGTGTGGGCAGCCACCTGCCGGGCTTTCTGTCTTCTCTGGAAATGAGTACTGATGGCTAGAAAAGAAGATGACATCCCTGGGTTCATGATGGAAATGTTTGCATGCCTTAGGCCAGGCTGAGTGCAGGCACAGCAAACCAAGAAGTCCACGGCCCTAGCCTTCCTGCCTCTGAACACACTTCAGGAGTTACATCTTATTCCTTAGTCAGCCCCAACTCTCCTCTACCTCTCTCCCTCTCCCTGTCACAGCACTTACACACTCACATTCCACAGCACTGACTCTCTTGTGCTGGCTAGGGTCATATCTGCAAACACAGAGAAATGAATATTTGCACTGTAAAACCTGAACTTAGGGGGTGGGTGTTTGGCTTAGCAGTTAAGAAGTGGGTTGAGGGGCCGGCGCCACGGCTCACTAAGCTAATCCTCCACCTGCGGTGCCAGCACCCCGGGTTCTAGTCCCAGCTGGGGTGCTGGATTCTGTCCTGGTCACTCCTCTTCCAGTCCAGCTCTCTGCTGTGGCCTGGGAGGGCAGCGGAGGATGGCCCAAGTGCTTGGGCCCTGCACCTGCATGGGAGACCAGAAGGAATCACCTGGCTCCTGGCTTCGGATTGGGACAGTGCGCCGGCCATAGTGGCCATTTTGGGGGTGAACCAACGGAAGGAAGACCTTTCTCTCTGTCTCTGTCTCTCTCTCTCTCTCTCCCCCTGTCTAAATCTAACTGTCAGAAAAAAAGAAAGAAAGAAAGAAAGAAAGAAAGAAAGAAAGAAAGAAAGAAAGAAAGAAAAAAAGAAGTGGGTTGAGGTCCCCATGTCCCATATCGGAGTACCTGGTTTCCATCCCTGGTTCCGGTTCCCCATCCCAGCTTCCTGCCAGTGCAGACCCCAGAGGCAGCAGGTAATTGGGCTCCTGCCATTCATATTGGAGACCTGGGTTGTGTGGCTTCTGGCTGCAGCAATGGCCTAATCCTGGGTTGTTGCAGGCATTTGGGGGATGAACCAGAAGGTGGGAGCTCTATGTATGTCTCTTCATCTCTTTTTGTCTGTCTCTCTGTCTCTTGAATAAAAAGTAATTAAAAAAAATAAAACCTAGACTCAGATTCCTCATTAATATGAGACTACTAACTGAAAACATGTGTCTAGGACCAAGAATACATCTTTATGTTGAAATAATATTTACTGAGCACCTAAGTGCTAAACCCTTTGCATATACCATCTCTTTTAATTCCAACAACACAGATACTTTTCCCGCTGAGAAACCAGTCTTAAGAATAGATTCAAAATTACACATGATGACTGGCAGGGCCAGGGTGAAGCCCGTCTTTGCTGACTCCAAAGCCATGCTTGTAGATATCACTCTGCCACCTGGCTTGCCTGAGTGGGATCAACATGCAAGAGCCATTTGCATTAGTTCAGGTTTTGCATTTTCATCAATTACCTTACTGTGAGTTACCAATATACATTTGCGTCACCTTCTGTGATGAATGACTGCAGAAAAATCAGACAACTCCCTGGACATTACCTTTACCATTTTATTGATGAAGATACGACATTTATGGACATACCATTATTGCATTGTAAAGTATACTGCACAGTCATTCCCTCTTATTCACAGTGTTGCTTCATGTGATTTGTTCCCCACATTCAACTGTGGTTCAAAATTTTTAAATGAAAATTTCCAGAAATAAGCATTGTTAATATTTTATTATAGAATATTGTTATAACTGTTCTATTTTATTATGTTATTATTGTTAATATATTACTATGTCTAATTTAGAAAAAACTTAAAAATTAATTTATTTTTTAAGAAATACAAATTTCATAAGTACAACCCCTTCTCCTCCCTCCTCTCCCCTTCCCAGTCTCATTCTCCATTAAGATTCATTTTCAATTTAACTTTGTACACAGAAGATCAACTCTATACTAAGTAAAGATTTCAACAATTTGCACAAACACACACGCACACACACACATACACACGGAACTGTTTGAGGACAAGTATCACAGTAAACTCTGATAGTACAACTAATTGAGGACAGAGTGACTCCTGTTGTTAATTTAACAATGAACACTCTTATGTATGACATATAACTGAAACTTTAACATAGGTATTTATGTATAAGAAAGAAACAATATGTAGGATTTGGTACTTTCTGTGGAATATCTTAGAATGTATTCCCTTTGAATGAGAGGGAACTAGTGTATTTTTGAAACCTTTACATTTATTTGCTTTCATTTTATTTGAAAGTCAGGGAGATAGACAGACAGACACAGAGAGATCTTTTGCCTCTTGGGTTCACTCCCCAAATGCCTGCAATATCCAGGAGTAGGCCAGGCCAAAACCATGAGCCAAGAACGACATCCAAGTCTCCCAAGTGGGTGGCAGGGACCCAAGCACTTGAGTCATCATCTGCTGCCTCCCCAGTGCCAGGCCCAAGACAGAAGCCAGGAACTCCATTTGGGTCTCCCAAGTTGGTGGCAGAGGCCCCAAAACTTGGATCATCTGCTGCTGCTTTCCAAGGCTCATTAGTAGGGAGCTGGATTGGAAGCAGAGCAGCCAGGACTTGAACCAGCACTCCAATATAGGAGGCTGGTTTCCTAAGCTGGGGCTTCACTCACTGCACCATAGTGTTGTCACCCTAACTATCATTTGTGTCTTCCATTCTCTACTATAGGTCATTTCATACTAGTCCTCTATGGTATTCTGAACAGTAATATTTTTTACTTCCTGCCAGTAGCTAGAATTTCAGACACAGTGTCTTAGAAATTTTGCATAAGTGCTTCAGGTCTTGTCTTGAGCAATGTCATCTAGGAAATAATATTAACAACAGATACTTACTGAGCAATTCTTTTTTTTTCTTCATCTGTAATGTGTTTTTTTTAAACTTTCATTTAATGAATATAAATTTCCAAAGTACGGCTTATAGATTACAATGGCTTCCCCCCCATAACGTCCCTCCCACCCGCAACCCTCCCCTCTCCCACTCCCTCTCCCCTTCCATTCACATCAAGATTCATTTTCGATTCTCTTTATATACTGAAGATCAGTTTAGCATACATTAAGTAAAGATTTCAACAGTTTGCTCCCACACAGAAACATAAAGTGAAAAATAATAGATGATTTTTTAAATGATGATGAAATCAGATCAGACCTATTGTCATGTTTAATCCCAGTGAGAGTCAAGTTGGGAATTGATAATTTCTTCTTCTTCTTTTTTTTTTTTTTTTTACAGAAGATCAGTTTAGTATACGTTAAGTAAAGCTTTCAACAGTTTGCACCCCCATAGAAACACAAAGTGAAATATATTGTTTGAGTACTCGTTATAGCATTAAATCTCAATGCACAGCACATTAAGGACAGAGATCCTACATGAGGAGTAAGTGCACAGTGACTCCTGTTGTTGACTTTACAAATTGACACTCTTGTTTATGGCCTCAGTAATCTCCCCATGCTCCAGTCATGAGTTTCCAAGGCTATGGAAGCCCCTTGAGTTCTCCGACTCTTATCTTGTTTAGACAAGGTCATAGTCAAAGTGGAGGTTCTCTCCTCCCTTCAGAGAAAGGTACCTCCTTCTTTGAAGACCTGTTCTTTCCACTGGGATCTCACTCACAGAGATCTTTCATTTAGGTGGTTTTTTGTTGTTGTTGTTGTTGTTTGTTTTTGTTGTTGTTGTTGTTTGTTGTTGTTGTTGGTTTTTTTTTTTTTTTTTTTTTTGCCAGAGTGTCTTGGCTTTCCATGCCTGAAATACTCTCATGGGCTTTTCAGCCAGATCGGAATGCCTTTAGGGCTGCTTCTGAGGCCAGAGTGCTGTTTAGGACATCCGCCATTCTATGAGTCTGCTGAGTATCTCAACTGAGCAATTCTTGTATGCCAAGCAGCATTCTGAGTGCCTAACTGGTATCAACTCATTTAATTCTCATGACAACTCCAGTGAAGGCAGTTTTCTTACATGGTTCTGCAGATGAGGAAAGTGAGTGGCAGAGAATTAAGTAATTTGCCTAAGGCCAGTAAATGTGTAAAGCCTGAGGTGCAGAGATGGACTTTCTGGTTCCTATCTGGGATTTTGAAGCCTTTTTCTTAGTCCAAAGCTGGAAATTTTCAAACCAGGATCCCAGAAAGCCATCCTGGAAAGAGACCCAAGTGCCTTGCTGTAGAATCACAAATAGCTCCAGGAAGTGGCTTTTGGGGGCTTACATAATTTTTTCTGCTTCTTTTAGGCAAAAGTGATGATGAAGAAAGTCTTTGCAAATCAGCCCACGGGACAGGGAAAGGAGCCGCTGAGGATGGCAAGGACCACAAGCGTCCCAAACGGCCCAGAACCATCCTGACAACACAGCAGAGGAGAGCGTTCAAGGCCTCCTTTGAAGTCTCCTCCAAGCCCTGCAGGAAGGTACAGGAGGGGCGATGAGAAGGAAGGGCTCCAGGCCTCACTTCTCTGTGTGCACCTGGACTGCTGTGGGACATCAATGGGCATTTGAGGGGGTCAGAGTGGTGGGGAGGGCTGTTCAGACAGAGCCTGCGCAAGTGGACCTGGGCCCTGGTGGGGACTCCAGAGATGACAAAGCTGTGGCCAGGGATGTAACAGACACTCCCTATTCTTTCATGTGTGCATACTGACTCCAAAAGGCCCCTGGTTCACCCCTTTCATTTCATGTAGAGCAATGGAATGATAATCATAGTAGGTGCCAGTGTTGCTGTCCACCAGGATACAAAGAGCTAAAAAACACAGTGGCTGGCAGGGTCTGGTTGGTTCCATTTGGTGTGTTGCTTTGGGGATCCATCCACGTTGGAATTCACTCCTCTTGGTTGTTGAAAGGTCCCACTGCATGGATATGCCCTAGCTTATTTGTCCATACACCTGCTGATGGGCATTTGGGCTGTGTGTGCTGCCCAGGGATGTTACAAGTAGGGCCAGTGTGAACATTCATGCCAAAAAAATACAATGGCTTAATGAGATAGGAGTTTATTTTTTTCTTATGTTACTGTTCAGAGGTGACCAAACCAAGATTGGTGGCTGTGTGGTCAATAACATGGGTCCTAAGGACTGTTCCACTTGTCACCATTCTTCCAGTCACCAGGGTAGAGAAGGAAGGAGTGGAGGGCAAGAGGCTGCCTTGTTAAGGTCAATTCCCTTCTACTTGTGAGTTGGCTGAACCACAGCCCTGTGGCCTTCCTGCAAGGGAAGCTGGGAACATGAGTCTATGTGTGTGGCCACATGCTCTACTAAAACTTAGGGATTCAATTACAGACAAGAAGAAGGGGAGAATGGAGCTGGGCACAATTATCAGTCTCTGCTACAGATAAGTGTGCCCATTGATTGAATGCTGGCCATTTTTCAACTGCCCACCCTATGCTGGAAGTTATCTTTCATACAATAAAAAGAAAGCTTTCTTTGCTGAAATTCATAAAGGCAATATATTTTAAGCAGCTTAACATTGTTTTCTCTGCCTCCCTTTCCCTGCATGTAAACTAATACCCAACGTCTTAGGGGCCCCTCCAAAATGTTTATTTGCTACTCCTGGGCTGAGCTCAGGTTAGGTTGTCCCACTGTCTCCTGTTGGAAATTCCAGGCTGAAGGGGCAGTGCCTTCTTGGGGCATGTTGTTCACATGCAGATGGCAGAAAGCCAAGAGACCATGTCAAGGTTGTAGCCCCTGGGGAACCCTGCTGACAGGCACACATGCTCCATGGGCCATAACTGGTGATGTGGTTTAGCTAAATAAGGGTGCAGCAGTGACACCCCCGAACCTCCTCCCCACAAGGACACAGGAGGGAAGGATAGGGACTTGTTGGCCAATAGTACAGTCTGCCACAACTTTGGACCCCTGATGAGCTTCAGCTGCAGAATTCTTCCTTTCCCCGCCCTTGCAACCCCATCTGCCCCAGGGCAGGTCCTGCCGGCAGGTGAAACACCCCAAAGCAGGCAAATTGCTACCAGCTTCACTGATTCACTTATTCTGAATGTCCTGAAGTCCCAGCCTCTCCATGGTCTGGTGCTGGCTGCTTGTCCCCAGATAGCTTCCAGGTCATGTGTGAGGAGGTGTGTGTACATTGAACTTTAACACTGAGGAAAGAACTCTGAGGACTGTAACAGGGGGTCAGCCAGGAGCCACAGGGCAGGGAGAGGTCATTTGTGTATAGGAAATTAGGCAAACTTTGGTGGAACAGGTGGCTTTGAGCTGAGCCTCAGAGGCATGGATAGGGTTTCAGCCAGTGGAACTGGGGCTACTGTGTCCATCCCTGGGTTAGTCGGCTTATCAGAAGGCTGTGTTTCAAAAATCTAGTGTGATCATCCCACTTCTCCCTCGTTTCCACCCCAGCAGCATAATAAAGGTGAAGTATTTCATGTGCGTTCAATTCAGGTATTTATTCCAGGAGCTTTTGTTTAAGATTTATTTTCATTATTTGAATGGCAGAGCTACAGAGAGGCAGAGGGAGGGAGAGAGAGGTCTTCCATCCACTGGTTCACTCCCCAAATGACTGCAATGGCCGGAGATGTGCTGATCCAACGCCAGGATCCAGGAGCTTCCTCTGGGCCTCCCACCCAGGTGCAGGAGCCCAAGCACTTGGGCCATCCTCTGTTGCTTTCCCAAGCCATAGCAGAGAGCTGGATCAGAAGTGGAGCAGCCAAAATTTGAACTGGCACCCATATAGGATGATGGCACTGTAGGTGGAGGCTTTACCTACTGTGCCACAGCACTGGCCCAGGAACTTTTTAATTGTTTCTCCTGTATCAGACCAAGAGGGTGAAGTGTCCCTTGAGTCCATTCCTTATAGTCTGTGTTTCTTGGCCCCTGCCTGTCTTCCCAGCTTACCATGTGCCTGTCTGCTTGGCAGATGTTTTTGCTTTTTTTTTTTTTTAATTTGAAAGGCAGAGACAGAGAGAAAGAGATCTCCCATCTGTCGATTCACTTTCAAATGCTTCAACAGCTGAGGCTGGGCCAGGACAAAGCCAAGGAGCCAGGTACTCCATCCCGATGTCCCACACAAGTGGCAGGGACCCGTGTACTGGAACCTGCTGCCTCCCAGGTGTGCACTAGCAGGAAGCTGGAATTGGGGAGGAGCTGGACTCGAACCCAGGCACTCCACATGCCAAGGAGAGTTGACCTCTATGCCCAACACCCGTCCCTGGGTGACAGATGTTTAAACACAGCTCTTCATGCTCTGGTTCCCCGTCACCCTGTTGCATCAGCCCCAGTGCCTGTGCCTGCTTCAGAGTTGAGTGCCTGGCCTTGCTATATTCCATGTGGTCTCATCTTACACCCTTTGGGGTAGAATTCACCTGGGGTGGCTGGGAATGTGAATATTCATAAACACCCACAGTCACTTGAAACTGTGAGGGCTGGGGCTGGCGCCGTGGGTGGCTCACTTGGTTAATCCTCTGCCTGTGGCACCAGCATCCCATATGGGTACCAGGTTCGAGTCCCAGTTGCTCCTCTTCCAGTTCAGCTCTCTGCTGTGGCCTGGGAAGGCAGTGAAGGATGGCCCAAGTGCTTGGGCCCCTGCACCCACGTGGGAGACCCTTAAGAAGCACTGGGCTCCTGGCTTCGGATTGGTGCAGCACCTGCCGTAGCAACCATTTGGGGGGGTGAACCAACTGAAGGAAGACCTTTCTCTCTGTCTCTCTCTCTCACTGTCCATAACTCTATCTGTCAAAAAAAAAAAAAAACAAAAAAAAAACAAACAAACAAAAAAAACAAAAACAAAAAAAACTGTGAGGCCAAAACAAAAAAAGTTCAGGTTTGATGAATTTCAGAAAGAGAGTTAGAGAGAGCTGTGTCTTTTGGGGAAGTGATTTTCACTCTCAGTTCTCGTTAAGGAGGTGGATACACATGCTAAGGTCTGAGGACTACTGAGAAGCCTGATTTCCAGGGTGAGCGAAAACCTGAAACACCCTGCGGGAATGCACCTTTAAGTTAATGATTGTTCTTGTTTTTTTTTTTTTTTTTTTTTTTTTTTTTTTTTTTTTTTTCTTTGTAACGTGGTGAAGGACTGTCTATATCCAAAGGGAAGTGGTTTTGGGTGTGTGCTGAGCACCAAATATGAGTCAGCACCTATGAGAGAGGTGGCCTGTTGGTCTCCCCTGCACTACCCACTCAGGCTGTGTCTTGTCACCTGCCCATGTTTCTGTATTTCTATGTTCAATTCTTTCAAGGTGAGAGAAACTCTGGCTGCAGAGACAGGGCTGAGTGTCCGTGTCGTCCAGGTGTGGTTCCAGAACCAGAGAGCTAAGGTAATCTGCTTATTACTTTTGTCTGTCTCTGGGTCGCTGCTTTCTTGCAGTAGGTTTCTTGCTGTCAGGTTTTCTGACCCGAGCCCTTCTGATAGCATGGTTCCTCTGATCTAATAACCCCATCAGCAACCATTATTTCAGCCACAGCAGCCTTGCAGAAGGGGAGATAAGGCATTTGTTTTAGTGAAGGGGCTTTTATTTTCCTCGTGGCCATGACTGTGCAGCTGTGTGAATAAATGTGCCTCTGTATCTCTTAGCGAAAAGCATGTTCTTTAATTTACATCTGTTTAACTCCAATACCAAAGTTCTTTTGAAATGTCAAGGAAGTGTTACAACTCAGGTAGCACCTGTGATGGGCTAGCACAACCCTGGCATGGGGCACCACCTGCCTCCACTCCCTGTTCCCAGAGCCGGCCCCACCTACATGATCCCAAAGTATCATGCTGTGCTCCGTATCTTACCAAGGTCTCTATGTGCCCATCACAGTCTTTGCTTTAGACTTCCATTAGTCCTCTGCCTGCCTCTAATAAGGATGTGTGTATCCTGAGACCTGTTCTCTGGGTCCCTGACCTTTAAAGAATGATAAATTATGATCTTATTGTTTGATTATGATCATTAAGGTAGTGTTTCCCCACCTGCAACCTCAGAACACAGCTGCTGGTATGGACTGCAGGCTTCCCGGTGAAGTGCATTTGAGAGGCCACTTAGCCTATGAACTCACAAAGCAGAGAAGGGTACTTGCAAAGCTCTGGGAAAGCTTGCAGTAGGGAAACATCTTTAAATGTAGTGCTTTCTCCACCTACACACACAGACACACACACTTTCAAAGTATGTGTGAACATTTCACGGAGCCCTAATGATCCACAGAGCACTGTTTGAGAACCATCAGGTTCAAATGTTTCCTTAGGAGACAAGAGGCATGGATTGCCCTGTAGTTGTCTCAAACACAAAGGCCGGCAGATTAGGGGAGAGGGAGGGAACCAGGTGCTTGGCCTGCCCCAAATCACAAGCTGGTCTCAGCACACAGCCCCACATCTAGGCATGGCCGCCGAGCCTGGTCCTGCATTTCCGAGTCAGTCACGACAGTTCACTGTTCGTGCAACGGCAAGTTGCACCTTTGCTTCCCGGCCATCTGCAGAGCAGATGAGCCCTCAGCTGTGCTGCCCGTGACTTGAGTTCCTCAAGTGTGGCTCCTTTACTGAGTAGCAGCTGGGGAAGCACTCTGCTTTATGAACAAGCCCTCAAGAGGGCAGGTATCTCTTCCTGCCTCCCCCTTACCATGTGAGCCTGCTGCCTGTCCCTTGACTTCTAATCCTCTGGCCCTCTCCTCCTCAGATGAAGAAGCTGGCCCGGCGGCAGCAGCAACAACAACAGGATCAGCAGAACACGCAGCGGCTGAGTTCTGGTAAGTTGGAGACTCCTCCCAGCTAGTCCTGGCTGGAATCCTGGCCTCACCTACCAGGAGCCTCCAACTCCGTAGTTCCTGTGCTCAATGCCTGAGATGATACCTTCAAGGGAGGATGGAGCCATGAGGACCCTGTGAGAGGGTTGAGGACACTGAGTTTCAGGCTTGGAATTGCCATTTGGAGGTGGCACCTACTTTATCCAAATCCTTCTCTGGCCTGGGTCCTTCCACAGTGTCAGGGCAATGAGTCAGACCTTGCACAGAATCAAAGCTCCCATCTTTTCCAGTTGTGTTGGTTCATTTGCTGTGGTTGTAAATAAATACCCAAGGCTGAGTACTCTCTAAAGAAAAGGGGCTTATTCACGTCACAGTTTTAGAGGCCCATCTGTGTGGCCTCTTATGAGGGCTCTGTTGTTTATGTCACAACACCCAGGAGAAACAGAAAGGGAAAAACCGCCTGCAGAAGAAGAGGCCATCCCATGGCGAGAGAGAAAGCCTGAGGTTGCAGGGGTCAGGCTCACTCTTTTATAACAGCTGCTGCTGGTTCTTCCTCATCCTCCTCCTCCTCCTTCTCCTTTTAAAGATTTATTCTAGTTATTTGAAAGGCAGAGTTATAGAGAGGGAGAGATCGAGATCTTCCATCTGCTTGTTTGCTCCCCAAATGCCTGCAATGGCTAGGGCTGGGCCAGACTGAAGCCAGGAGCTTCCTGTGGGTCTCCCATGTGCAGGGGCCCAAGCACTTGGGCTGTCTTCCGCTGCTTTCCCAGGTGCATTAGCATAGAGCTAGATCAGAAGTAGAGCAACTGGGACTCAAACCGGTGGCCATCTGGAATGCTGGCATCACAGGTGGCAGCCTAACCTGCTCCACCGCAGCGCCAGCCCTAATAGCCCCTTTTTACAAGAACTAAGTCACTGTGGGAGATCAGCATTAATTCCCTTTGAGGGCCATGCCCCCAGTGACCTAATGACCTTGCACTGCTCTTAATATCACTGGGGATGAAGCCTCTAGTACATGAGCCCTTGCAGGAAAAACCACATCCAAGCTATAGCACCAAGTCCTCCTTCCATGCTAATCACTTTAACACAGGACTTCCCCCTTTCCAGAATAGCATAAAATAGTAAAACAGTGATACTAAAAAGATCATCACCTTCTTTATCACACACTTTTAGGAGGGAATCTTAAAAAGAATTCATGGAAAATAGGTATTATGGAAAAAATTATGGATTTCAATGTCTTTTTTTAACACCAAGAAAATCTTATCTTTCAATTCATTTTTTCCCACAAACTTTTGGATGCATCCTGTGTTAGAACAATGTAATTCTTAAAGAAAATATACTTCTTCACTCAGCCATCCAGGAACATTTCTTGAGTGCTCCATACTGTATTTTAAGTGCAAATACATCACCTGGGATCTTGGTAAAGTACAGATTCGGATCCTTAAGTTCTGCATTTTTAACATTCCCCTGGGTGATGCCATTGCTGCTGGCCACAGGACCATACCATGCCAGTTGTACAATGTGACGCTGGTTCTTGGGCCCCTCGACGGAGCCCTTTATTTTCATATGGACCTTGCCTGGTGCTTGACCCCTGAGCTAGGCTCAATCTAGAATTAGAGCCCCATATCCAGGAGTTCTCTTAGCTTCTTACCCCCTAGGCTAAATAGTATTTTAGCACCAAGGTAGCTACAGGGAGAAAAGAATTGAAACTAAGACATGAGTGTTGGGCAGGGTAGAGCAGCTGAGTCAGTAGATCTGGATTCTGCCCTCAGCTCCACTCCCAGTGCTGTTTGATTTGGGACCACCTTTTCCATCTACTTGATGCCTCAGTTTATTTGTCCCTAGGATGGAATAATAATACTTGATAGCCCTATCTTGGAGGGCCCAGATGAAGTCCAAAAAGGGTTAAAGACACGAGAGGGCCTTAGTAAGAACTAGGCACGTTGACTCCATGTAGGCTAACAAGCTCAGACGGAGATGAATGCATCAAGGTGTTACGAGAACACAAACTCAAGGGGCTTGGGCCTGTGTTAAAACTTTCCAAGGGAACTCCTAGTGTAGACTGAAGAAAGCAGAGGCTGGTGGGAAAGTCTCTGAGAGCTAATGGAAAGAAGGCTAGAGAACCACAGCAAGATATGGAGGTAACAATCGAACGCTTCTTTTCTCATAACATTCTGTATACAAGCAGAACAATTATAGTCACAAAGCACATGCACCCCATTTCATGGAATCATCATATTATCCCCCAAGGTCAGCCGGCCAGTGTCACAACTCCCACTTGACTGATGCGTTCATACAGGGTTATTTCTAGGGGGATCTCTATATTCATCCACTCTGGAAGCTTGCACACATGTGTACAGCATCAAAATCCTTTGTTTAAGTGCTATATTTCAAGGGTGCTCTCAGTTCAACTACCCAGCAACCACCATCACCCCTCTTCTCCATGGTAAAGAAAGGTCTTTGATAGGGTATGGGCTGGGAAGCACTGATGTCACCTCACCCATTTCCATTTTATAAGGGAGGGAACCAGGACCCAGGGAACTGAAATTACCTAGCCTTGATCCCCAACCTGTGGGGGCACTCTGTGGTTCTTGTCACGTGGTACCTGTACTGTTGTGTAGCTGCTTCTGGCACTGAGTAGATCTGGCCTAGAGTGTGACTTTTGAAGGCAGGTCATCAAGGACGTGGTGGCTTCCCTGTGTTCTCTCTCGGCTCACTCGCTCTGGGGGATGCAGGCTGCCAGATTGTGAGAATGCTCAAACAGCCTGTGGAGAGGTGCACACGCTGGGAAAGGGTGAGCACCTGCCAGTGAGGATGCTCCGTGGCCCTCTGTGGTCTCTCAGCATGGGACACTGGACTGCACACCGAGTCACCTGCCTTCTTCTTTGCCCCACAGCTCAGACAAATGGCAGCGGGAGTGCTGGGATGGAAGGGATCATGAACCCCTACACGGCCCTGCCCACCCCACAGCAGCTGCTGGCCATTGAGCAGAGTGTCTACAGCTCCGATCCCTTCCGACAGGGTCTCACTCCACCCCAGATGCCTGGAGACCACATGCACCCCTATGGTAAGAGGTTCTCAAGCCCCATGGGGCCCTCTCACAACTTGCTAGTGTGAGTTTCTCCTCTCTCAAAGACATCTGTGCAGTTCCTAGCTCTACAAAGCAGAATAAGTGTCCTACAAAAAACCGCTAGATTCCCTCCTACATGGGTAACCGATGGACACAAATGCCTTACCAAAGAAAAACCCATGTACATATTTTGTATGCCTCTATTGATTACAGTTTTCTAAGCATTTTTTTGTTAGTTTTAAGTAAGAAGTTGTGCTTTCATTGGGCACCTGAAGCTTGTGGTTGAATTCCACAACTTTCATGCCAGGTACCAATTTACATATTTGCAGGGAACAGTAGTGCTGACACAGGCAGAGGGCCTTAATTAAGCAAACATTTACCTAAAGAAATGAAATACATGAAAGCACAGAAGACAGATTTTCTAATTGGATAGTCCTACTAGTAGGGGCTCTAATTGTATGAAACATAAACTGTCTTGTAAAGTGAAAAATATCTTTCCTGTGTTCACCCCTCTTGAACTGGGGTTGATTTAAGTGCTGTGTGTGTACATAGCTGAGCTTCCACCACTTGCCCAAATTGCTATGTAAGCCAACAGACAACAGCTGGGGTCTGGAGAGTCGTGTGGGGTAGGGTGAGCTGGTGAACTCGGGAGTGAAGGCTCAGGTTCAACCTCTGGGCCACAATCTAGACTACTACATTTTTATACAGAGAAAGTCCCTGGTGTATGTAGTGAATGGAACACATTGATCTATACTGTGTCATTTGTGATAATGTACCCTGATAGCTAAAAAATAAAGTTTTATTCAGCAAATCTTCAAGGCATTAGTATCAGAGACATATGCCAAAGCTCACAGATTTTGTCAGATAACTTCTTTTTTCCTTCCTTTTAAGAAAGTTCAATTAAAATCACCCTTCCTTCCCACATCACACATTCAGCAGCCATTTTTTAATGCCTTGGCAGTGTATTTGTTGACCAACCTTATTAATTCAAAGACCTGTAAATACACATGTGTATGGGATGTCTCTGGTGACATCTATCCTGTACACTTCCTTGGAAGACTCAAGTCATGTTTGAATCATTCTTCACTCCATAGCTATAGGAAAATGAGGCAAACAATTTTTTTTTTTTTGGTCAGGCAGAGTGGACAGTGAGAGAGAGAGACAGAGAGAAAGGTCTTCCTTTGCCATTGGTTCACCCTCCAATGGCCGCCGCAGTCGGCACGCTGCGGCCGGCTCACCGCGCTGATCCGATGGCAGGAGCCAGGAGCCAGGTGCTTTTCCTGGTCTCCCATGGGGTGCAGGGCCCAAGCACCTGGGCCATCCTCCACTGCACTCCCTGGCTACAGCAGAGAGCTGGCCTGGAAGAGGGGCAACCGGGACAGAATCCGGCGCCCCAACCGGGACTAGAACCCGGTGTGCCGGCGCCGCTAGGCGGAGGATTAGCCTAGTGAGCTGCGGCGCCGGCCAGAGGCAAACAATTTTTTGCAAAGTCTGAAAGTGTGGGAGTCTCAAGGATTCTGTTACATACAAAAGCCCTGTGATGAGTCCTTTAGCAAGATGATTTTTTTTTTTTTGACAGGCAAAGTGGACAGTGAGAGAGAGAGAGACAAAGAGAAAGGTCTTCCTTTTCCATTGGTTCACCTCCCAGTGGCCGCTGCAGCCGGCGTGCTGCGGCTGGCACACCGCACTGATCCAAAGCCAGGAGCCAGGTGCTTCTCCTGGTCTCCCATGCAGGTGCAGGTCCCAAGCACTTGGGCCATCCTCCACTGCCTTCCCGGGCCACAGCAGAAAGCATGACTGGAAGAGGAACAACTGGGACAGAATCCAGAGCCCTGACCGAGACTAGAACCCAGGGTGCCAGCACCACAGGCGGAGGATTAGCCTATTGAGCCATGGCAACGGCCAGCAAGAAAGGCCCATGACAAGTTTTATGAGCTCTGGTTTTCCCCTGCCCTGTTTACTTGAAGTGGAGAGGTAAAACGCACTGCTCCAAGTCCTGGTTGCAGTGGTCCCTCAGCTATTTCACAGAAGGCCCCGCTGACTTCTCCACAAGGATGTAAATTAACTGAGTGCAGGATCCTGACCTTCCTCTGCTCTGCAATACAAGTCTGGGAAGTAGCCGGCATCAGGGTACATCAGCTATTTGAAAGGATAAATGTTATCATGGGAGGTTTCCTTAGCCTCACTCAAACTGATGTTAGTTTTCTTACCATCCTCCTTGAAGAACCATTTTTGAGGCCCAAGTCCTGGATGAGCTCTCTCCTGTGGCTCCATCTCTAGTGAAAGTCCTGCCTGCACCCACTGCTCACTGTCTGGACATCGAACATTTGCTTATGCTGCCCTCAATTTAGCACCGTGTCGCATTTCAGTTTGTGTTATTTTCACTTGTTGCACTTTGGACACAAGTACTACAAAGAGGCTACAGAGCCCAGGATGATGACCCACTCCTGGTTTTCTGCGTAGTTCTCTTGCACACCCCTACCTGTTCCCCAGCACCCAATCGACAGTTTCACCTGGGGGATGGACTGCTGTTGAATTCAGCTGTATTTCCTAAACCTAACATGAATCACTTCTTCCAGACGTCTCCTCATGCCAGTGTTTTATTTCCATTTCAGGTGCTGAACCCCTTTTCCATGACCTGGATAGTGACGACACCTCCCTCAGTAACCTGGGTGACTGTTTTCTAGCAACCTCGGAAGCCGGGCCCCTGCAGTCCAGAGTGGGAAACCCCATTGACCACCTGTATTCCATGCAGAATTCTTACTTCACCTCTTGAGTCTTTTCCTAGAGTTCCATGGCTAGGCTCCCACGTGGAACAACAACCACAGTTTGGAAGGGGTTGCTGGCTTGTGGACAGGAGGCTAGGAAAGAGGTGGGCTGGGGAGGGAGTTTTGTTGGAGATGCTGTTGTATAATGATATGGGGTAGCTCAGCATTTCCAAAGACTGAATACATTATGGATTGCATAGTTTAATGTTTCTATTAAGAGTCTTAGCATTAGAAATGAAGATGTGTTTATCATTAAGGACAGGGACTTTTAATATAGATCTTCTCATGCAAACTAGATACCTAGGGACTCCTAACAACTTCCCGCCATTTTGGGGAAGCTCTTGTCAAGAGGTGCATATGTCTATCCACCTACACGCCATAGGCAGACAGATAGATAGATGTGTGAGTGTGTGACCTTTCATACTTTATCATCAAAGTTTATTCCTAATTATAACAGACACCAACTGTACAGCAAAAGTAACTTTATTTTCAGTGTGAACTATATTTAAGGAAATGCTTGATGCACTTAAGTTATAAAATGAGATAATTTACTTTTATAAACTTTATTTTTAGTTTGAAGAGACTTGTCGGCAGGGCAGAGGGGGCCGCTCCACCCAGCCCCGTAGCTTTGAGTGCTTGAGTTTATTCTGTCTTTAGAGTGTCATTGAGGTCTGGAAGGCAACTCTAGGTGGCTGATAGTGTTCTCTTGTGGATTTTTGCTCACTTGGGGGTTGAATTACTGGGCTGGGGTGGGATGGAGCAACCCCCTATCATGTTCTTGGAAAATGGGAAGCCCAGACTCTTGGGCTTGCTTGTCAGTTCTGACACATGGTTGTCAGGCAATGTTGGGAAGGTTGGTTCTGCCCTTGAGTTTCAGCATCTGCAAGTGAGGATGAGGCTAACAGTACACACCTACCTCACGGGGGACCCCAGAGTTAGTTCACCCCCAGGACACATGGGCAGAGCTGAGACTGATACTTGATGTTGGCTTCAAATGCACCCACACCATTCAGCAGGCAGAGCAGGAAGGCAGCACTGCCTTCCAGTTCCCTCTGTACTGCCTGGGCTGGCAGGAACAGCAGCTGGGGCAACTTGGGGGATGCCTCATCCTTCAAAAGGAGAAGGGGCTAGGCTGAGGGCATGGAGAGGGCGTGGTAGTGATAAATTATGGCCTCAGGGCCTGATTTTTATTTTTAAGGGATTATTATTAAAAAAATAAGGAAAATGTGATGATTGTATGTGGCCCAGATAGCCTGAGAGATTTGCCATCTCAGTAGAAACATATGGTTGAGGACCCATATTGTAGAGAGTCCTGTTTTTCAACAACCTCATAGAGCTCATGGAGACAGGGAAGCCCACAGAGAAACCCAGAACTCTTCCTCTGGGCTCACTTGTCTGACCTGGAGCACAGATTACCCAGCAGCCATTGTACAGGCAGCCAGTTCTATACGCTGATCTCCCATTGTGGTGCTAGGAGGGGACCTTCTGTGTTGGGAGTCCTCTTGGGAAGCCAGAGTGTGTAGGTGGAGAAACAGAGGGTCAGCTTGGACTTGTCTCAGAGGGGCTGTGACAGGCTTGGTCTCACCCCTGGGGACGTCATCAGAGTCTTGAACTCAGCGACACATCCCCTCTACTCTCTGCAAGGCTAGAGGGATCATGTCCCTTATGGTAGAGTCTGTGTTGTGTGATTTTTGTGCTCTTGTTTATAATTTATGCAAACCACCAAGAAACGCAAATCAGTGTGATGTGTGGAAATTATGCAGCTGCTGTGTGGCTCCGCAGGTTACTGTGGTAAAGATCAGTTGGAGAATGTAGCAGATCCTATGTGAGTGAAAATGAATAGAGATCCTTATTCCACTCCTTAATGGCAAACCGAAATGAAATTAAAAACCTCTTACAAATGAACTGTTGTTTATTCAGGGCTGGGATGATGGGCAGACAACCAGGGGCACATGATGGGTTTTGTCTTCAAGCTTTCAATGAATGGAGAGAATGGTGGCAGCAAGGCATACAGAGAAAGGGGTCCTCCACCTTCAGCCAGATGAATGGAGATCCCAGTCTTCACCACACCCCCACAGAAGCGGGCACTGAGATCATTTCATCATCACCATGGAGGGCATTTGTGGCAGGGTGTTTTGTACCATGCATTGCATGAACATGTGCTTGGAAGTCAGAGCAGAGTCATGGGGCAGAAGAAAAAGTCCCCATTCAGGGCTAAAGGCAGGTGCCCAGCCAGGTTAGGAGAGCAGAGCTGCAGATGGTGGCTCCATGATAGATTCTTCCAAAATTCTCAATGATTTAAAATTTTTATATTGTTTGAGAGATTGAGTGAAACAGATACATAGAAACACACACACACACACACACACACACAGAACACTCTCATACACTGTCTACTGGTTTCCAAGGGCTTAGAATGGGCAAGGCTGAACCAAGTCAAAGGCAAGAACCAAGCACATAATCCTGGTCTCCCACGTGGGTGACAGGAACCCAATTACTTGAGCCATCTCCATTGCCTCCCAGAGTCTGCAGTAACAAGAAGTTGGGATCTGAAGCTGAGAGTGGATATCCAACCCAGCTTTAGGATGTGGGACACTGATGTCCCAATTGGCAGCTTAACTGCTGGGCCAAATACACTTCCCTTAACAATTTTAAATGTGATGTTGTTTGAGCATCCCTAATCTTGAAAACCCAAAATATAATCTGAAACTCTGAATGCTGACATGATGCAAGAAGTGGAAAATTTCACACCTGACCTCATGTGGCAGATTGCAGTCAAATCATAGGTGCAGTAAAAACATGACTATTGTATACAGTTGCCTTCAGGCTGTCATATATAGTGATTATGAAACAAATAAGTTTTGCTTCGACTTGGGTCTCATCTCCAAAGTATTGTGTTTATGTAAATATTCAAAAAAATCTGGCATCAGAAGCATTTCTTGTCCTAAGCATTTTCCATAAGGGCTATTCAGCCTGTTTATGGATGGGCAATTTTATGGCTGTAGAGAAAAGAAGTGAGGGAACAGTATTAATGTAAGAGCAGGAGACATACTAAAATGGTGGAATCATTCTATGTATGTTTTCTCATCTGCAGTTGTTCAAGTCCTGTTGTCCCTGACATGAGGAGCCTGTCTGTTTCTCAGCCTGTCCGCTACTGGACAGGCCTGAGTTCCCTGCTCCAGTCTCTGCACCTGCCTTTGTCCCTCCTGGTTACCAACAACCAGCTACTTGTCCTTCAGTGTCCTTGGCCTTCTCAAGGAGCCTGAATGGCTGGTTTGTGCCTGTGTAGAGAATTGGGCTCATGCTACTCAGTGCAACAAATAAATCTCCAAATGCTGTAGTAGTTCAATCATGATAGAAGCATACAGTTTTACTCAGGCAGAAGACCCAGGAGGGAGCTGGGCAAGAAAGCTGCCTCTCCTCCGTGCAGAATGAAGGTTTTGTCCATGGCTTCCAAACCTGTTGGGGATTGGTTGTTGTCAGTTTTCATTTCTCTTCTCCCCTTGCAACTGAAGTGGTTGTGTCCTGATCCAAATCCCAGCTCCTCCACTTACTGGCTGTGTGGTTGTGGGCAAGATACTTCTCTCTGCTATGCTGGTTGCTTGTGGTAAAGAGATCATACTTTTTTGCTGCCTCAAAGGGGTTGTGAAGACAGGGGAGAAAAGTCATGCACAGCACTTAGCCCTGCACTTGGCACATGGTAAGTAGTAGATGCATTTGCTGCTAACCATGAGCCAGACCCACCTTGGGGTTTGGCCATTGATTAAAGGCTTTTGGGGTCTCAGACCACATTTGAGGAAAACAAAGAATACACCTTGGTTCACTGAGTCCCCTCATCTCTTCTCACCATAACTTTCTTAAATCTTAGTGAGTGTCTTACACAGCTTGAGCCAGAATTGTGGGGGAGTGGCTTGCTTTTTGTTGGGTCTCAAGGCATGTGGGTAAAATCCAATTGTGAAGACACGTTAAGCACTCTGATCCCTTGGGAGAAGTGGTCAGGTCACAAGAGATTTCTTGAGCCATCGGTGCAACCTTTGCACAACCTGCATCAGAGAGGAAGATATTAGGGCTGGGAGCAGAGCGGAGAGCTTGGATCCAGAGACGGAATTTCTACTGCTTGGGAGAAATTTGTGTTGCCCTAACAGGAATCAAAATTCAGAAGAAAATACAGTTAATTCATCAGACCAAACCCAAAGACAAAATAAAATTTTAACCAAATTGCAAGTGAAATCAAAATCAGTTTCTGTCTTTTTTTTTTTTTTCTCTCTAACTCAATTCAACCTGGGATGAAATGCAATATCATTTAACAACAATGAAACTTACCATCAGGGTCACAGCAGAGTCAGAACCAAATTAATGTAAATTCCTTGTCTGTGATGTTGTAACATTATGTTCAGTGACTAGAAGGGGAGAGCCATTGTTAGGGCTCAACAGAAGGACCTGAACTCTCTAACAGTGAAATATAGTCCTTCTGTGAGTGAATGGCTTGGAGAATTGAAGATGACCTGATATATGTTGTATGTGGAGTTCCCTAGATGTGTATCTTTAAGCAAAGCTCTGAGCCTTCATTTCTTCATCTATAAAATGAGGCCAATAACATTTGCCTAACTTATGGTTTGATTGTTGTGAACATCAAAGAAATAATTACAAAAGAGCATTGCAGACTGTGAAGTTTTATACAAATTGGAGAGAGTCTTAGCATTTTGTCTCAAGAGGCACCTGTGGATGGGGCCACTTGGGGGGCATGATATGCATGCAAACAGTGGTCTGGCTTGCAGGCTGACCCTGCGAGGAGGTGCTATCCCTGATCAGAGTGCGAGTAATGTCTTTCCTCTTCCCAACCACTGGAAATCACAGTTGCCACTGCCTGATGAACCTTCTACCCCCTCCCCTGACCTGGGGGGGAATTCTAGAAAAGGAGCCATATGTGGCTCAGCCCCCAGTGGGTGGTGCATTAGCTAACTTATCACTATTTTTTACCTCCTTTGTCACTCCCTGTGCTTAGGAATGGAAGGTGTTGTTTGTCCCTATTTTGTAGAGGAAACAACTAGGCTAGTTAGTTATGCAGCTGACCAATTTCCTTGGCCCTTTTAGCATATTATCGATTCATTTATTCACTCATTTGCTCCATCTAGTAAGTATTAAACATCTGGAATATGGCAGGCTCTGGGATATGTACTAGAAATAAGACATGTGCAAAAAGAAGCATTGGCCATGTCTCATGGAGATTATAGCTTATGGGGAAAAAATAGCCGTTGACCAAAAATTCCAGTAAATTTTACATGTGCTATGTTGTGAGTCACAAAGAAGGCTTAGAGCTGTAAGAATAGAATGCAGGGAGGCAAGTGGGAAAGGATTTCTCAGAGCCAGTGCCAATAGAGCTGAGATTTTAGTCACCTCTCCCGCTGTCAAGTAGTGATTCTGCTTCTCCTTCTTAAGGTCTTGTTCTAATTACCCTGGGTAGAAGGAACCTGTTTAATGGGTGCTGTCCAAGGTGTTCACTGATAAGGTCTAGAGAAGCAGTGTAGAGTATCTTAGAGTGCAGAATGTCTTCAGAATCAAGGAATGGGCCACTGTCACTCACTCATCACCTGTTTATTAAGCCTGCAGTAGAGGACATTTGCATCCACTCACCCTCCTTCTGATAGCATCACTCTGATTTCCTTGGGGAACTTGACCTTCCTCATCGTGGGCAGTCTTTGTAGGACTGTCAGTCAAGGTGACCTGGGCTTCTATACCCCAGGAGCAGAGAAAGCTCCCCTTCCACATCCTCCTGGTACTTGAATCTGACAGAGTGGTCTCGAAGTTGGAGAGAGGTTTGGAGCTAGTTCACCTCTGGCGATGTGCCTGATGAGAGGGGCGGATGGTTCCTGCCACCTGGCCCCTGGAGCTGCCCTGCAGCCATCTGTGTCCAAGACTGGGCTCTGAATACCCTTTGATTCCATGAGCTGTCTGCTCTGCTAGTCTGATAGGGACACATTGCTGCTCCAGTTAGTCAGACCTGGTGGCCTCTGTTACTTGCAGAAGAAAATACTCATGGAAGCTATATTCCTTCATGTTTTTGCAGTGTTTGATACCGTACAAAGGTGTGTGTGTGTGTGTGTGTGTGTGTGTGGTTCCTTATTACAGCCCTCTGGGTTAGTTAGGCAGGTACTTCTTCATTTTGTAGGGGAGAAACCTGACGCTCAGAGAAGTGTTTTGCCCAAGACCACAGAGATAATTAGGGTCCGAGCTTAGTTTCTGACTCATTTCTCCTGGTTCCTGGTCCTCTGCTTGTCTCCCAAGCTCTGACTTCCAAGTGACAAGGTGTGTAGGAGCATCTGTCAGGCCAGGCACTGTGAGGGGCACAGGGAAGTCAGACTATCTTTCCTGCCTACAAGGAGCTTACAGTCTAGGTAAAGGGGAAAGACAGTCACATGGATTTAACACATTTGTTTACCTATGCACGTGTGAGATTGCTGGTGTAGATAACATGTTCTATGGGAGTTCCGCAAAGAGAGATGTTCCTGGAACAAAGAAAAGGAAAAAGAGTGTTCTCCAAGAACGCGGAGCTTACACTGAACCATCAAAGAATTCAGATAGGGTGAGAGGAAAAAGGCTGCTGTTCTAATCAAAAGGATCAGAGCAGGTAAAAATGCGGAGGGAAGAGGTCAGCCATGGTCACATGTGAAGGCACAGAGACCTTCTGGTGGAATAAGAGGCGCTGGCCGAGGCTGATGGTGAAGGTGTTGGTGACGGGGCTATTGCCAGGATTTCTCCAGTACAGATTAAAGGTGCTCTATTTCTTATGTGACTGAGGCTGGTAGTCATTCCTATGACCTCTTTAAAATGATACCTGACATTTTCCACTGGCAGAAAGTGACTTGGACTAAAGCCTACATCTCTCAGAGTGCAAAGTGTGTCCTGGCCAGTGAAATAACAGAAGTGTCACATGGTACCTTCCTCAGAAATACAACTGCCACAAGCCCTTTTCCTCTTCTATTTTGCTACTTTCTGGTCGGCTAGGCTGCAAATGTGATGGCTGGAGCCGCAGCAACTGCAGTAGGCCATGGGATGAACCTGTGAATGGAGACCACACATGGTGAAACAACAAAGCAGAAGACACCTAGATTCCATCGGACTCCAGGGAACCAAGCTGCCATCCAACTCTGAACTATGTCTTGACTTAAAATTTGATAAATAAACTCCTCTTTTTTAAAGTTACTGGTTTTTTGTGCTTTTTGACTCACAGCCAAACCCAATCCTAAGCAATACACGAAGCCAAATGTAGTTAGGAAAAAAAATCTAAGCATATCAGTATATGCCAATGAGATAAAAATCAAGACAATATAATCTCAGGTAGTGGGAGTCATCAAGGCAAGGTAGACAGAAGATGGAATGATTATCCATGACTTTCAAATGTACAGGTGATCTGCAAGGCACAGGATTTCCAGCTGGGTTCTCTTGTCTTCTAAAGGCAATCGAGACAGTTTCCTGCTCATGCCATCCCAACACATTTTGCTAAATGCTGTAATACATGTTTGGGCATCCACCACCAATACTGAATTTCATCAGCTTACCCAGCCTCCTGGAAGAGAATGAGCAAGCAATTCTACATCCTATTTCCTGCTTACTCCAGTTTCAGTGTAACTTTGTTAATAAAATGCATGTCTGTGGATACAGACATGTTTGCATACATACATGTGCATATACACACAGTCTTACAAGGAGGTTTGGCCACACATCACAGTCCCATGGCTGGCCAGTTGTTCTCCCTTAATGCCAGCCCCCTACATTATAATGTAGACAAAGCCCAAGGCAGGTTGTACGTGTGTGTGTGTGTGTCAGAAATCCAGGAGAGACAGGCATGAAAGAGAATCAAATTGTTCTTTTCATCTTCTGTGGTGTGAAGACAGCCTCTCTCAGCCATCAGCTGTGATTTGGGGCTTAGTACAGAAAAGAGGAGAAAGTTTGCTCCCATTCTGAAGTGGGAACAAGGACTTCAAGACACCAAGATCCTCACCTCATTCTACCTCGAACAGACAGCCTGAGTAGAGGACCCACCTAACAGCACTGGGAGAGGATTAAGGCAGTTGGGAGGCCCCATGGAGCTAAATGCATCACAAATTGTATGTCAGGTCAAAAAGCAGGTATTTGTTGATTTTAGAGAGGGGCTTTCATTCATCTGGTCTCAGGTTTCTGTGTGGAGAATTCCTAGAGAAACACTCCCGGCTGCTCTCATCACTAACTGGCTTTTCCCCGTGGGAAGAGGATAAAGCACGTGCTGGATGGTTTAGGTAGAGGAGCTCAGTGTGCTTGTCTTAGCACTGCTGGATCTATGCTCACCACTGTCTCCCTGTGGCCTGCACCTTGGGGTTCTTGGTTCATCTGTGTTAGTAAGGCAGAAATGAAGTTTGAAGGAGAGTTGCATTCAAGGGGATTGCATAGGGATCCTGACTCTGCCTCAGTTTGACCAATTTAAAAAAAAAACTCAATTTGGCCAATTCCTTTATGTTTTCTAGTTAGTTGCAATCTTGGGAAGCAAAGACAATTATGTTATTAATTATTCTCCTTAAACTCCAATAATAGAGTAATCACCAGGCACACCACAAAAGGCTCGATTGTGTGGTGAATCCATTTTCATTCATCCACTTAACACTCACTGTGCTAGTCACTAGGCTAGGGTAGTGAGTATGAATTTCAGTTTAAAAACACAGCTTTGTATAATTTATAACTCTTTAAAAAATTAATATTATTTGAAAGGCAGAGAGAGACAAAGACAGATGGAAAGAGATCTGCCCGTTGGTTCACTCTTGAAATACTCACAATAGCCAGGGCTGGATCAGGCCAAAACTAGGAGACAGGACCTCCATCTGGGTCTCCCATGTGGGTGGCAGGTACCCGAGTATTTGAGCCATGACTTGCTGCCTTCCAGAGTATGAATTTACAGTCAGCTGGATTGAAAGTGGAGTATCCTAGACTGGAACCGGGCATTCCAACATGGGATGGGGCCATGTCAAGCATCAACATAACCACTGGACCACATGTCTGCCCACCCTACACTTTTTAAAGATTCACTTTATTTGAAAGAGTTACAGAGTGGGGGGAGAAAGAGGTAGAGATAGAGATACAGATAGAGAGGGAGAGAGAGGGAGGGAGGGAGGAGGAGGGGGAGAGAGATGAGAGAGAGAGAGAGGCATATCTTCCATCCATTGGTTCACTCCTTAGATGTCTGATGTGGCCAGGGCTGAAATGGTCTGAAGTCAGGAGCCAGGAGCTTCATCAGGTCTCCCGCATTGGGTGACAGGGGCCCTAACACTTGGTCCACATTCTGCTGCTTTTCCCAGACCATTAGCAGGGAGCTGGATTAGAAGTACAGCAGCCAGGGCACAATCTGGCTCCCACATGGGATGCTGGTGTTGCAGGCAACATCTTTATCCACTACACCACGACACCAGTCCCACCTGGCTGTTTCTGTTTTCAGGATGATAATCTAGGTTCAGCCCCCTTTCCCACTACCCTGGATTTCTTAACCCAACTCCCTGACCCTTTTACATCCACGATTAAGAAAGGCTAAGACAACATAGGAATAAGAGGAAGGGGCCTTCTGTCATCACTGGGAAATACCCATCATGGTAATTAATGCCATCAACACCTTTCTCCAAAGCCATCATGATCTATCGCCGTGCTCTGGGCACATTTTGATGTAATTTCTCTAAGGTCTCCCAAAACTTTTACTAAGAAGATTTTGTGGTCTCCTATCCCCAGGACTTCCATTTTAATCTGAGGAAATATTTTCCTCCATCATATTTCTGACTAAGATGTTATGTCTGTATCCTGCATACACTTTCCTTCATACACTTTTGCTTAGTATTGCTAAGATAGAATAAATTCATGTTGGGGGGGGTTGTATGATTTCCTAATGCACTGGGTTCTGGAAATAATCTTCCTTGCAGAGAATACTTTCATCTGGTAAGAAAAGATTTTTGAACATCATGAGGAGAGAATTGAGCCCTTCACTATGATACATGCAGAGTTCCAAAGGCAAAGTCAATAAAGATGTTTAGGAATGGCATCACAATGGAGGTGCTATTTAATCTAGGCCTTGAAATGTGAGGAGAATGCCAGGAATACAGGGTGGAGAAGGATAGTCCAGAAAGAGAAAATATTTAGGGCATGAGCAACATTTACTGTTTATGTTAAAGATGGCTGCAACGTTGGAAGCATGAAGAAGTGTAGTTGAGAAGTGGGGCCCACAGTGCTGTGAAATTAGGGTCATGGTAGTTTGGGAAGGACCTCGGATGTCTCCTTGACAGATTGAGCTTCAGCTACCAGGCATCAACAGGTCTTTGCAGAGCACCTACTAGAAATTGACAGTTCCATGACATGCAGTAAGTCAAGGATAGAGCTTTCAAAGCTTAAAAGTCAGGGGTAAGGGGCCAGTGCTGTGGCGCAGCAGGTTAACACCATGTCCTAAAGTGCAGGCATCCCATATGGACACTGGTTCTAGTCCTGGCTGCTTTTCTTTTGATCCAGCTCTCTGCTATGGCCTGGGATAGCAGTGGAAGATAGTCCAAGTCTGTGGGCCCCTGCACCAGTGTGGGAAACCCGGAAGAAGCACCTGGCTCCTGGCTTCGGATCGATGAGGCTCAGGCCGTTGTGGCCCTCTGGGGAGTGAACCAGCAGATGGAAGACCTCTCTCTCTGTCTCTACCTCTCTTTGTAACTCTGTCTTTCAAATAAATAAAAATAAATCTTTAAAGAAAAGTTAGGGGATAAGGCATATTATTATCTATTTATAGTACATTTAAAAATATAGGACAGTTTATTTAACAACAAGTGTAAGGTGAATACATATAAAACAAAACAAAGTCAGCCACATCACCACGACCTGAGTATAAATCTCAGCAAGCCAGACCTCCAGTCGCTGTCAGTTCACTGTCACATAACCTGACAGCCAGATGCCCGAAACAACTGATGGTAGGGATTAGCTTATTCACCTTTCACTCGGATATGGACCAGCGGATAAATGGACACAGTTTAGACAGAAGAGGTTTTAGCTGTTCCCTTTTTCCATTACACTGAGATAGGGAAACCGGTGTGGAATGAGCACAAGCTTTGGAATCAGACAGACTCAGGCTATAAATCCGCCATTTAATACCATAACTCTATCCCTCTCAAATCCCCGTTCGTTATCAGCAGATGGGGATAAAGATGCCTGCTTTCCAGATAGGTATAAGGAACAGAAGTGCAAGACAAGTGACTGCCAGGAATGCATGCAATTATTATAGTCCCAATGGTGACTTTATGTAAGACCGTGGGAATGGAGAGAAAGGATTCCTGATTCCGGAGTCAGTTGGTGGCGAAAGTCACTGGACTTGATCACCTGTCAGACAAGCAAGAGTTAAAGACATCTTGAACTTTAGTGACTGGGAACCTAAGAGTACTCTTTTTTTTTTTTTTTATTTGACAGGTAGAGTTAGTGAAAGAGAGAGACAGAGAGAAAGGTCTTCCTTCCATTGGTTCACCCCTCCAAATGGCCGCTACGGCCGGCGCGCTGCTCTGATCCGAAGCCAGGAACCAGGCACCTCCTCCTGGTCTTCCATGCAGGTGCAGGGGCCCAAGTTCCCAGGCCATCCTCCACTGCACTCCCGGGCCACAGCAGAGAGCTGGACTGGAAGAGGAGCAACCGGGACCAGAACCTGTCACCCATATGGGATGCTGGCGCTGCAGGTGGAGGATTAACCAAGTGAGCCACGGCACCGGCCCCTGAGAGTACTCTTAAAAACAGGAACACTAGGGTAGCTGTTGGGCACAGCAGTTAAAATACCACTTGTGATACCTGTATCCCACGTAAGAGTGCCTGGGTTTACGTCCTGGCTCCACTCCTGATTCCAGCTTCCTGCTAAGGTGCACCCTGGCAGCAGATGATGCCTGCAATGCTTAGGTCTCTGCCACCCATGTGAAAGACCCAGACTGAGTTCCTGGCTTCTGGGCTTGGTCTGGCCCAGACCCAGCTGTAGAGGACATTTGGGGAGTGAATCAGCAGGTGGGAGAGCTCTCTCTGTGTCTTTCTGTTTCTCTTTCACTGTCTCTTTGCCCTCCAAATAAAATAACTACATAATTTTATATAAAAAATAGGAAGCACTGAGAAAATCCTACAACACTGTGTTCCTCTTTGGTTTAGAAAGATAGCCTTTGGCAAATATATTCAGAACAGA